CTCAGGCTGGTTTCGAACTCCTGAGCTCAAACAATCCACCCGCCTCGGCCTCCCAGAGAGCTAGGATTACAGGCGTGAGCCACCACGCCCGGCCTATAGTGTTTAATTTTTAAATTTCTAACTTACTGTGTAACAAAAAATTTACATATAAGTTTTTTCTCAGGAGTTCGAGACCAGCCTGGGTAACATAGTGAGATACCACCTCTACAAAAAATTAAAGAATTAGCCTGGCACGGTGGCTTGCACCTATAGTCCTAGCTACTCGGGAGGCTAAAGCACGAGGGTGGCTTGAGCCCAGGAGTACAAGGTTGCGGTGAGCCATGATCATGCCACTTCCCTGCCTGCCTGGTTAATGGAGCAAGACTCTGTTTTTACTCAGACCTTTTTTTATGTGTAGTCTAACATATATGTGGGAATATATATTTTTCAGCCCCAAAATGGGACTAGACTCCACATACTATTCTATAACTTTTTTTCATGTGATAGTACATGTAAAACTTCTTTTCATGTCAATATGTATAGATCTGTCTCATTCTTTATAAATAGCTGTTTTGTATTCCACTTAATGGCTATGCTGTACTTTATTTTAATCAATTTCTCACTACTGGACATTTGGATGTTTCTAGTCTTTTATAAACAATGCTGCTGTGAATATTTTGGACATTTTTATACTTGTGATATCTAAAACTAAAACACCTTTATTTTAGTAATGTCAGCAGTTCTAAGTTTCCACAACCATTTGCAGTGTCTTTTTGCTCCATAGATCTTCAGATCTCTACCTGTTGGCTATAACATCTCTAAGCAAGTTCTGGATCAGTATCTCACTCTGCTGGCAGATGATCCAGTAAGTCTGTTTTTGCTTTTTTTTTTTTTTCTTTAGTCTGCTTTGTTTACAATTTATTTCTGCCACTGATACCTAGTATCGTTCTCCTGTAGCTTCATTCTCTACCTAGCCAGCCCAGACAATTTCTCCACCGTCATCTGATAGGAAGGCTCCCTGCTACAGACTCTTGGGCAGATTTACTCCATTGGAAACAGAATCACTGGACTTCCCATTCAACTAACAGACTCTCTCTCTCTTTTTTTAATAGTTAGAGTTTGTTGGAAAGTCTGGCGACAGTGGTGGTGGAATGTATGTCATCAGTATCCTTACCAGTTATTTCTTTACAGTAAGGCAGCCTGAACTATGAAGCAGAATGGTCACTTATGAAAGAAAGATTTGGTAATGTTGAGTATACTAAATAAGTTAGAAAATTTAAGTAATTTTTTATGAATTTGTCTATGAATTTTCAATGAACCACACTGATGATGAAGTAAAAAAGATTTTTAATTAACCAAATTTTTGTTAAGCAAAATCCTTACTGAGACACCCTCATTTATTAAGGTTTTAAAATACTTATATACTATAAATGAAACCAATGTGAAAAACA